CCATCTTTCTAGGAACTATTATGTTTCTAGGTTTCTTTCTTTTTTCATTTTATAAGTTCCCAGAATCGTTGCAAGGTCAGGCAACCCTAGGGCTGAGGGTGAGAAAAAAAATGAGAGAGGAAGACGGACAGATGGCTTTGGATATGACATCATGGGCGTACAATGTTCAGATGCTGACTGAAACACAAGGCAATAATGAGAGGATTGAATAGAGTCTGAACTGATAATTAGAAGACATAATAGTGTGATTACAAAAATAGGATTTCAGATGGTAGCTCTTGCAATGGGGCTATTTTCCAAGATAGGTAAGAGAGAGAAGTAGGAGAACTACAGAGAGAAGAGGAGTAAAACTGTTTCATCCCTTCTGCCCAGAAGCCAACTCTATTTGGCTCTTCCACAATTGTCAGAAGGAGCGACCTAACCTATTTCTACTGAAACTTTGGGAACTGGTTCCTCTACTGGCTTCTTTCCATTTTTCCACCCCTCTGCCCCCCTGAAATCTTTTCTTTTACTAGTCATGTCAGGGACCATATTAAAACAGCTATTTATAAATCACTCTCTTTGAGCAAAGAAATGGTTAAAAGAAAATGTTCAGTTACTCAAATATCCACAAAGAAATGGTTGTGTTTGATTTGTGACCCTTTACAGCAGACCCCACGGTTTTCTCCAGTACTGTGACTACCATGCTTAGCAAAGTTGGTCTCCAGCTGACTGATTACAGGGGAACATTTTTGCCTGTTTGGGGCAAGAATATGGAAATAGGTTTTGACCCTGCCTTCTAGTTTAGTATTCCCTTGTCTCCCACCCAAGCACAAACCAGGGCATAGCTGCCTTCTGCTTGACCAACCATCTGCTGCCACATCAGGGCTCTCGTCTGACTCTTACTACTTCTAAATTATTTGCTTGACCTTTCTAACTCAAGGAGCTAGAGTGATACCAATCACAAATACTGTTCTCATTTTAGTATTCCAATTTTCTGCTCAATGACCTCTTTGCCAGAAGTAAAAGCACCTAAAAATGCCTATTTGGCAATGCTCAAGGGGAATTTATATGGTTTTTTATTATTATTTAAAAGATTTCTACAATTCTGGACAGCTAGCAGCAATAATTAAAACATAAGGAAAGACTGCCTTGATTTGAACTCTTGACCATTACTTACCCAGTGAAGGAATGGGTTTCTAATGCCTGGGTGATAAAGTATTATCTAGGCAATAAAATGTGCATCTCCTCCTCCATAATGAAAACACAAAATCAGCAGATAATTGTTTATATTCCCATGGCTGCTTTTCATTAGTCACAGTGGTTACTTTCTCTTTGAACAACTGGCAACTCTCCCTACCATATTATATAAGCAATTCATCTTTTTTAAAAATGCAGTTTATTGTATAACTCAGGAAAATTTGCTTTTTAAGGAAATAGTAGTCTATTCTAATTGGGCCTCCTGAAAATAATTTGTGCTCTTAACCAACTTATTCAGTGTAGAAAGTCTGAAATGTTTTAACTATATGGTATATTATTTATTTATTTATTTATTTGATTTGATTTGATTTGTCAATTGCTTACAAGATAATAGGTATAAGTATATACATAGTTATGAATACATGAAATGGGTACATATAAGAAAAATAAAAGAAACAATAGGACAGGGATGGTAGGCACATTGGTGCACTTATGCACACCCCCTACAGACCTCTTAGGAAAGGGGTGAGATGAATAGTAGACAGTTTAAGGTTAAAGTTTTTGGGGTTTGGGGAAGAAACTACAGAGTCAGGTAGAGTATTCCAGACATTGACTACTCTGTTGCCGAAGTCGTATTTCCTACAATCAAGTTTGGTGCGGTTAACCTTGAGTTTGTATCTATTGTGTGCTCTTGTGTTGTTATGGTTGAAGCTGAAGTATTCATTGACAGGTAAGTCATTGCAATGTATGATTTTATATACCATACTTAGATCAGGCGTAATTCAAGGTTTTCTAGGTCTAGAATTTCAAGTCTGGTGGCATAAGGTATTCTACAACGAGTAGAGGAGTGGAGAATTCTTCCTGTGAAATATTTCTGGACTTTCTCAACTGTGCTAATATCAGATACGTAATGTGGATTCCAGACTGATGAGCTGTATTCGAGTATTGATCTAGCAAATGTTTTGTATGCTCTAGTTAGTAGTGTGATATTACCAGAGAAAAAGCTACGTAGGATTAGGTTAACATCCAGGTTCGGTCCTCCTGACCAGTCCAAAACTCTACCCACCCACCTTTCCAAGTCTTTACTCCCATCAGGGGTATCCAGCCTTGGCAACTTTAAGACTTATGGCTTAATTCCTCAGCATGGCTGGCTGAGGAATTTTAGGAGTTGAAATCCACAAGTCATAAAGTTACCAAGTTTAGAGACCCCTGACGGTCAATCTTTCTTTTCATATATAGATAACAAGGGGACAATATAGTGTCCAAAGAGTGGAACTTCTTCCAGGAGACCGAGATAATTTAGCCGTTCAGACACGTGGTGGTCCTGAAAAGCATGAGGTGACAGGGTGGGTATTGGTAAGTAAAATTCTCTTTCAGGTTAAATTGTGATTTTGAGAATTTTGCAGCAAGTAGAGAAGTAAGATTTTTCTTCTTGGAGGTTGGTTGGGAGGAATGTTGACACATCATGAGGAAAATGATATGGTGGCTTTCTAGGTTGAATGATTAGGTTTCACCTAAGAATTAGTATATAATCTATTATGGTTATGCCATCAACTGCCCAGTTTGTATGCAAAATTAGCGAAGTGCAGGCCTATATCTACAGGATATAGTACCAATATTGATGTGGAAGTCTAACAGGTCCAAAGACAGAACAAATGCAAACAGGGAGGCAGGCTCCATCTATGTTATAACATATTTTCAGTTGGGGAAGTTATGAAATTATGGAAATTTCAAGAAATATAATAAAGTGTTTCCCTTTAGTACTGTCAAAGTTATTTTATTCAATTATATGCTGCATTTTTAAAATTTCTCACACATCCAAATACACACATGCACACGGTGCTTCATTTTTTATTATCCTTAATGGATCAGGGAATATTGACTTCCTATCTTCCAAAGCAAAATACAAAATCCAAGTATATTGAGTATTTTATAAAATGAGGTACTGTTCTCCTGTGCCATTATACCATATCCTCCACAAAATGCAGACAATGGTTGAAAAGTACTTACCACATAATCATTGTACCTGCTAGTATGCACTTCTTATCATAAGAAACTTTTTTTCCACAGGGACACTTAACCCCATTTCTCCATCTTGCCCCAAAATATATGCTAAAATCTTTTTGGTAAGACACGGAGTGTTTGCTTTCTGATATTCACCAGTTGTGTTTCCTACCGGAATTCCATTTTCGGGCTTACTAACTCAAGCTGTGCAAAGGGACTTGTTTTTGTATATTACAGTGAACTGTCATAGTAAAAGTCAAATTATGGATATAGATTGTTACAATCCAAGCAAACATACATTCATATATATACAGTACTTCCCTATCTCTATGTGCCTACCAGCTGATGGCGTAAGAGAGATGCAATATTAACATCCATCAAGACAAAAAATCCCTGCCACACTCAGTTCCATATTATGAAAACTTCTCTATGAGAATGGTTTTGAGCTGCTTATGTTCTAGAAGGTCCACCATGTCTGTCTTCTCCCCACTCCATATAAGACAGCAGGGGCAGACAAAGTTCAATAAATATAAAGCAGACCTCTTAGCATCTGATGATACTGTGTGTTTAGTCTCAAATGCTTTCCGCTATTAGCTGTAATTACTAAAGCTGTTCTTAATCCTTTTGGAATTAGTACCTAATGGAGACGACATAACAGAGCCCTGGTGGCACAGTGGTTAAAATGCAGTATTGCATGCTAACTCACTGCCAGGACTTCGATCTTGACCGGCTCAAGATTGATTCAGCCTTCCATCCTTCAGAGATCGGAAAAATGAGGACCCGGATTGTTGGGGACAATATGCTGACCCTGTAAACCACTTAGAGAGGGCTCTAAGGCACTATGAAGAGGTGTATAAGTCTAAGTGCTATTGCTAAAAGAGTTGTTTAAGGAATATTCAGGGCCATAGCATGTATAAGGATATGAACAACCTTGAGGAATGCAATTAACTATGACTCTACTGTCTGCTCCCAATAGATATCTCCATTGAGCAAAGATGATGCTGGAGAATATGAATGCCACGCATCTAACTCTAAAGGAGAAGCCACGGCTTCTGGAAAAATTACTGTGGTAAATTCCTTAAATGAAATACCTGCAAAAGGTACGTAGGTCTGCATAAGCACTTCCTTTTCTATTGGATCTAGTTAAAAAAAATAGCCTGGGTTGATTATTAATTGGTAGTACATTTTGTCATGATTTGTGACCAAAATATGTGTTTCACATCTTTATAAACTTCAACTGGCTTAATGTATTTATCATTGTAAACCATCTCCCCCATTACATTTTTGTTCCTTGAGCTGGTATCACTGAATCCCTTTAATGTCTATGACCAGCAGTCTCTGAAAAAAAGTCAAATACCGAAGAAAGTTTGCTTACTTGTTATCTATGATTTTAAATTACTCTAAAATAATTGTGGAGGAAGAAGGAATTGTTATCTACTTCTGCTTTTTTTTTCTTGCTACAATGAAATACTTTTGATTATTTCTATAGCGACTCATTTCTCTGGAATGTATCTCAACAATAACAAGTTTTCTTAAATTAAAGCACACTCTCATTTTTTTTGTAGGTGAAAGTACTGAGCTGTAAAAGGTGAACCATATATACTGCATATTGAGAGACAGTGCCTTTCATCTATAAGAAGTTTGTTTTTTGGAAAACTCACAATCAGTCATGGCTCTGTTTTACTTCCTACTATTTTTTGCTGTAATTCCAATAAAGTATTAAGCGAATGTCTGGAAAGCTTTTATTTCTATTTACATAAAACAAAATTCACACATTCATAATCTGAAAAATAAACTTCCAATAAAACACATCATCCGTTGGGATTTAAAACACATTTAAAAAGGAAGCTTAAAGCAGGCAATACAAATTTCAGGAAAAAGGTGAATTGTTTGAAGGCTACACACTCATCATTCGAGGTGCAATACTCATTGACATCAGTTCTTGGAAAAGTAGTTTGCAGGCATATGGCATCCTCACCAGAGAAATCTGAAAAAAATGAGATTAACCTATATTAGCAAAAACATTTCATTCCAGAAAACGTTCTATATCTTTCCTCTAAAAAAAACCCATAGATGGGGTTAGGGAGTTCAGAAAAGAACACCAAGAAATAATTTTTAAAAGGCTTCAAAGACTGTAAAAATAACAGTGATAAAAACATCTTTGGGAACAAGTTGGGAAATGTGAGGAAATTTAGAAAGGCACTGCTTAGTACTGGCCAAGCTTCACAGGTGTGATGGAATATGCACCCGGAGGAGCAATGCGAGAAGAGTCTAGCAACACAGAACTTTCCCAGAGAGAGGCACGGATTAAGAGACTGCACAGTCCCAAGCTAGAAAGGAAGGGGACAAAAAGTTCAGGGTAGTCACATCTCTCGGGATATTACTAATATGTTAGTAGGTTGTAGATTTAGTTTGGCAAGGTTCTGTCTATTAGCTGTAAGCAAACAGAAGACTGAATTTGATTGGATTTCACTGTGTCCTCTTTGGGCTTGGGCCTGACAGAAGGCCTTCTATATAAAGTATGCTGCAATCGAAAAAGCCTATTTCTTCAATGTCAATTTCCCTCTAACCTGGATGAAGAAGGACTTAAAAGATGATGTAACCATTGAGTATTAGGGATTCCAGAATATTGAAGTGTACATTTAACTGGCCATTGACCTCCAGCCAACCATTGCTTGGAATTTGAGTCCCCTATCTTACACGCACACACACATACACACACACAAACCTATTTACACTAAGTCAATGTGAAGTAGAGCTTAGCATCATCATAATTTAATTATTAAAGAAAACATTTTAAAAGCAAAGATTATTACTGCCAGGAAAATCATTTTAAAATCATTTTAAAGTTCAATTATATTCTTTCAGAAATTTTCCGAACTCTTCTGAATGGATGGGATAGTTTTATGCTGTCCCTCCTGCAGCGAGTGACCCTGAATATATTGTATTCATGGCAGATAGCACAGCGTAGACAAGTATTGGAAAAAGTGCCTCAAGGGGAGACAAAGATAACAAGTTTTTTTTAAAAAACAGAGAAAAGTGAAATGGAACGGGCAGTATTTTCCTACCCTCTTAACATACCTGTGTCTTATTACGACAACCCCTGCATTCATAGGTGTGGGTCCGGGTGTTTGCTATCGCCATTAGCCCGCACAAGTTGCATACATGAACCTGATACGGATCTGAGGCTTCAAACAATCTTTCCCTTAGGAACTGCGCTGCTCCATGAGCAATCTGACAGTCTCGTTCCATCTCTCCAAACCGAAGACCTCCATCACTGGGTGGGGAAAAAAATAATAATAATGTCCACTTCCATATTTTTCCAAGTAACAAAAACTACCCAGTTGGGCTGCCCGTTACTCCTACCCCAAATTAATGTAAGAAGGTACTACAGGAGAAGCCAGCTTATGTACCCAAAATGCTCCTGAGGAAAGAAAGTCTTTAAAAAACAAAGCATACCGGAAGCTCCAAAGAAGTGCTACATGCGCACATTGTCAATTCTGGTCTTATTATTTTTCTAGCCCTCATAGTTGCAAATATCATCACTAAAAGCTATGAAAAGGCTTGGGGAAATCTCAGAAACTAGTGGCATTTTCTATTAAGATTTCTAAGGACTGTGGCTTCAATACTTTGCTGAAATAAAGACAAATTGGAAAGCATACTAAGTGGGCATCTATTTCTTACCGAGATCGACCCTCCATAGGCTGCCTGTTAAGGATCTGAATAGGTCCTCTTGCCCTGGAATGAATTTTATCATCTACCATGTGTTTTAGTCGCTGATAGTAAGTGGGGCCGATAAAGATCTGTGATGTGATTTTGCGACCAGTAAAGCCATTATACAGAACCTGAAAAAAAAAATTCCTCCTGTTGTAATAGCATATCAGTGCAGAGAGCAGACAGAATGAGACTTATCACTCATTCGTTGTATCAGATTACCTCATTTCCTCTCAGATGATACCCATAATCAGAGAGCAAGTTTGAAATCTTCTGCACGTTGACTGCATCGTTAAAAGGTGTAGCATCACCTATCTCCCCTTTATTTGCTGATACCTAGAAAAGTAGAAGCAAAGACTAGCAAGTATTTTATTATTCCTCATCATAACTGTCTAAAATGAAACTGGGAAGATTATATTCTAACTCCCATTGAAGTGTAGAGCTCACTAAGTCATTTTACTTAAACTGAAGGGCTTCTGCAAGTCATAAATCGGAGAAATGGGGATTATGTAGTATTTACTCTGACTTCTTTGGAGGAAGAAAAGAGTAAACGTAAACTAAACATTAAAAGGATTTTAAATATTATGCAAATGTAGAGGTTGTGTTTTCCCAGCGTCTAGATTAATGCCACAGGCCAGAAAGATAGCTTTTTAATTTGAAAATAAAATGGCTCAAGATTGCAAGAGATAAAAACAATCTGATTCAACCTTGGCTGGGTATGCTAGAGTCAGAGATGCCCCTAGAAGCTCTCAAAGAGAGCATGATGGAGAATATCTCAGTTCCAAGCGGCAAGACCTACCTTTCCTTGAAGACATTCAATCAAGTGACCAATGGTCATTCGCGAAGGGATAGCGTGCGGATTGATAATGATATCAGGAGTGATGCCTTCACAGGTAAATGGCATATCCTAAAAACCAAAACAGATCAGAATCATATCTTTTTCCACAGCACCATTTTCTTGATTATACCATGCTTAATCTATAAGGTTTGCTGGGGTTTTTTTTTTGTATGATATAAGTCACAAAATAAACTACACAACTTCTTTATTCTGTCAGTCATCCAGGTCATGGTTGTTCCTAAGGTGCTTTTTCAAGAGGCAACTGGACTTTCTGATTTTTCTTTGAAGACATTTCACTTCTCATCTAAGAAGCTTCTTCAGCTCTGATTGAATGGGGGGGGGAATGGAAGGATTTATACTGTCATATCCCTCCCACTCTGTTGAGAGAGGGCTGTTCAATCTATGTCAAG